CTTCTCTCTTGAATGGTGAAAACTGCAGATCTCTATGATATCCCTATCAAAATTTATTCAAAAAACACTGATACATATTATATTTAGAAATGAATAATAGATGAAAAATAATACTAAGCAAGAGAAAAAAGAATAAACAATAAATAACGTCTTATGTATCAATATCGAGGACAAGTTGTATATTTTAATTTAAGATCATAACATATTTGTACATCAACTAAGTCTTTGCCTTTCATGTGAACAATAATTTGATTTGCACGTAAAGATGGATTTTTTTCTAAAAATACTTTTTTAATTTTATATTGAGTAATACGTTTATCGTGTAAGAGATATCTTATATCGGGTATTGTTAATGCCGTAAAAACTTTCTCAATTGTATTTAGATATTCATCAGCAGTACGAAAACTACATGTACCTAATAAAAAATTTTATAAAATATTTATTTAAATTTTTTAAAAATGTTCTATGAATCATTTACCGTGTTTTTCCCATTCGGCTTGAATAAGTGATTCATCGGGCATCATACAAAAATGGCGTTTGATCTAAAAACAATAAAAATAAAATATAGGCACCAACTACAATCTAACGGTAAGTATGACTCATTTTTGGAGCGGTCACGTCATCGGAGAAAATTTAAAGCATACCCACTGGATAACCACTCTGCCCGATCTAGATATTGGCGAGGAGAAGTTTTTCAGTTATCGTCAAGCACAGAACAGGGGCGCAACCTCTTCTTCGCCCATCAGATACGATGCACATCTGTAGTATAGATTAAAAATTTCAGTAATTATTATACAAGTTTTTTATGCATAATAACCCAGAGTGCGAAAGTTTTGACATAAAATATTTACTCATTTTTCGGCCAGCAAAAGACAATTAGTTTAGAATTCATTTTTTGCTATTTTCAAATATATGTTCAGATTGTCCTTCTGGAATAAGATTGAACAACTATAGACAAATTATGTGAAAAAGTCCAAAATTGAGTCTGTACAAAACAAAATAGCAGTTTTTATTCTGTATCTTGCCATTACTTCAACTCAACATTATCATAGAGCATTGAATTCTGTACAAAAATGAAATACTTCTATACGTTTCCACTAAAGAGTCAGCTTCTATGGAAATTGACATTGGCCAAAAAAACACACTGTTTTAAAAACTATTTTTAAAAATACAAAAATTTTAAAATCTGTCATAGAAAAATTAAATAGCACACTTTGTAGAACAAACAAAAGTGACTCATTAAAAACTATTTTGCATTTTGACTTTTATAGATTATCCAATCTTATCCCAGAAGAAAATTCGGAAAGAGCAAAAAAGCCTGATTCTAACTAACTAAACAGTTGTCTTTAAGTGACTGAAAGATGAATGAAAATTTTTTTTTTTGTTAAAACTTTCGCATCATAAGTTAATTTTAATGATGCAAGAAATATCTTAACTTTTTGTTTTAAAAATCTTTCTATTGAGTATAATTTTCTACAAGAAAATAATATCTACTGTTATCAAAGGTAATGGTTCCGCATTTCGACAATTGCGTGGATGTTGTCGAAGATTTTTAGCAGATCTTGATTGTGCCCAAAAACCATGTCTAAATATTTCATAAAATCCAAATGAAAACAAAAACCAAACGAATCCTTATTTTTTTTTCTTACACAATCAAACCAAAATCATCATATTGACATTGAAAAGTATGATTTCGTTGAGATGATGGTAAGTGTTTACAAAATGATGGTGACCATGAAAGTACTAATTTATAATAATCAGTTTTAGAATTAAGTGTTACCCATTCATGTTGTCGTTTACTATGGTCGAAATCATAATGACTGAATAGAAATTTAGAAAAAAAAAAAACAAGAAAAATAAATCTTTACAAATATAAAAAATAATTGATTCTAAACAATACGTTTTCCAACGCGGAGGCATTCGACAAACATTTTGAGCACCATTAGAAATACCACATAAAATAAGAAAAAATATAATGAAGATCATCGATTCTTTCTTTATTTCAAATAATCTAAAACAACAACAACTAACAGAAGACTAATTATTGTATTTCACATTATTTTCGAAGGATATATGTCAAAACAATCTGTGTATTGATATGTCATGTTTACGGTATGCATCCTTTATAATAGAAGGCAGCTTATGGCTGTTAACATCTTTCAAGGATACGTATAGATGTCTTATCAGAACTGTATCACGAGTCTATAACACAAACATTTCATGTTTCAGTCAATTTACTACTAAAGTACAGTAAATTTATTGCGATCTAAATTTTTGTTTTTGTCGTTAGAAATATTTTAGATTAGATATATGTACCTACGGACAAAGATAATATTCTATTAATAATAAATTTTACTATTTCTGATGAATAGAACAAAGAAAACAAGGAAGCTTATGATTAATTTGTCAAATAGAACACTATACAAAAATGATGAAAGACATGAAGTAAATAATATGCTTTCAATAAATTCTAATAGTAGTAGTTTAGTATAATAATGATACATTTTTCTTGAGTAATTACGATAATTTATAAAAGAAATATATTTCTTAAAATTTCAATTTTTTTTCTTCATATGAAAATCAATTTATGATTAAAAACCTAGATATTATAATTATTATTATTATAACAAACTTGATAGAATCTACTGTTTATTCTTCATATAACCATTGAAAGCAAGCAGATGAAAATAGATGAGTTAAAAGTCATGGGTCGACTAAAGGTTAACAAACAAAACTTGAACAATCCTATTGATATGTATACACATACGATATGAAGGGCAAGAGAAAGCAAAAAAAAATGAATGAACCATTGACGAATCGTTATCCATTACAACTGTACACAAAATCACATGATTTATCTTGTTGTAAATACAATGCTATTAATCAAAAGCTCTTGCAAGATCTTACTTAACAATGGATATTATGATAGTCTAACATATTCTTTTGATTTTTTTTTTCATTTGTTTAGTATCCATGTGAAAATCATTGGTTTTATATTTAGTTGAAAGATACAAAATTATTTATATTTTCTTTGTTATCATAACCTTTTTTCTCTGTAAACTTGGTTTCACTAAGAAAAACATTGAATATATAAGAACTGATACATTTATCTAACAATGATAAATACACCCAATGAACTAACTACTTAAGTTAGTTTGTCTTATCTATCTATTTGTATACATCATTAGTTCTTTGTTTAAATCATATTTTCTCATTAGAAGCGACAATAGCGATTATTTATCTAGTTGACGGCAATTTATACTAGAATTATATGAGAGAAAGCAAGCAAAAAAGAGTTATATAATCGGTATTATCATATTTGTTGTTCCGTTTTGGCATATAGAGATACACATTGATTACACTTTTTCTCGAATAACCGAATGTTTTTTTTTTCTGTTCTGCTCGAAGAAATATAGCGTCATCTTTCAGTATGTGTAGCTAATCCATCATCAAGCAGATATCTGTTCTTAACGTCAACAGAACAAAAATAGTTGTAATGAAATGTGTACGAGAGAAGAGAAGATTACGTCGGTGGACTTCTTCCCTTTTTTTTTTTGCTATTTGTATCCCTATTGAGACGAAGGAGAGAGAGAAAGAAAAAAATCTCCATTTCTCTACTAGAATTGCTCTAGCAATCTATATCTGTGTGCTGTGAATAATAAATAAAGTGCAATAACAAAACCAACGCACATATATATATATATATACGAAAAATCAAGAAAGAAGTAGCTATCAAATATTTATTATCGTCTTCTTTTGTGAACACATTTATTATTAAAAAATCCAATTAATAACGCAGGTATTATATGATCATATTAAAACATTTAAAAATACAAACATATCCTATTTAGAATGGCTGATCTTAGACGTATAGTTATTATTCTTATGGCAGTAGCTTGTGTAATGAATGTTATAGGTGTTATTCATTGTCATGTTAATTATCCGTATCTTACATCAATGAATGCATATCGAATGAGTTATTCAATAATATTTCCTATTTGTAAGTTAAAATTGAATATGAATTTATTTTGGTTTTGTTTTCTTTTTTTAATTATATATAAATAAATTTTAGTATTGAGTTTAACTGGTTTTCTTCTCATTGAACAATTATTAATTACAGACGGAACAGTAGCACCACTTAATCGACTTCGCATTATTTATGCATTTGGTGCTGCTATTGCTCTAATTATTTTTGGTATCAGTGCTGCTATTGTAGCTAGTCGTTGGTATAGTACTTATCCACATCATTCTTATCATCACTGTAAGACTTCTTTTTTTTTTAAATAAAAAAACAAATTGTTTGTTTTTTAGATGCTGTTATTGCTGCAGTTATAGCTTTTATTGATGCTCTAGTTTATATTGGAGAAGCGATAAGTCGTAATCGCAAAAGTCGTATCATCTAAAATAGGATACAGAAAACACGAAGAAAGACAAATTCTATGTAGTGTTGTTGTGTTTTTTTTTTCTTTTGTGAATATAGATTCTCTATGTATTCTATTACTATTAATAATTGCTAACAACTGTTCTGATCATATTCTTTTCTATATATCGTTATCTGCTTTTCTTTTTTTTTTTCCTTCGTTTTCATTGTATCGTACGTTTAGTGTTCGCAAAAAAATTTATATATTAAGAAAAAAAAACACACACATATACACACACAACAATGAAATTACTTCTATTATTATATTTTTTAATCATTTTAAATTTATCATTAAGTTGGTTTACAGGTGGAAGACGTCGTAGTAGTACATGTCGAGAATATTTTGGTCATGAATCAACAAATAAACTTCTTCTTATTAATCTTGAACCAGTTAAAAGTGATTTACGTGTTGATTTTCGATCATATATATCATCATCAACACCAATACCATCATATAAAAAAATACGTTTTATTAATCATTGTTGTTTTATATTTCCATCAACAAAAACAACATGGAAAACTGATATGGAATTTTTTGGTCGTCGACAACGTTTATTAGAAATTGGTGAACATGAAAGTAAAATAAAACGTATAACAATACCATCAGATTTAAATGAAAGAAATATACTTTTATATACAAAAGAAAATCGTCTTATTTGGTCATCATGTGCACAATTAGAACAATTAACTAAAACTTCATGTGATTCATATTGGTTAAAAGGTTGTCTTGTACGTGAACATGGACCATATACATGGTATTGTAATTTAACACAACATATTTCTTATACAGATGATATTCCAAGTATTACAGTTTTACAAGGTGGTTCAGATTTCATGGAAACACATAAACCAAGTATGAAAACCAAATGTTAAAAGAAATTACATTGAAAATATTTCAAATTTTTTGTGTGTGTGTTGTCATGATGTTTTTTTTTCTCTTCTTGGTAATTTTATCTTATTCATTATGTATAAAAAATTAATGTATTTCAAGGCTAGTACGACTACGTGACGTGCTAATAATCACTAAAAACATGTTTTTTTTCTTCTTCGTTGTGTCTGGTAATCAAACAAGAAGTCTATTTACAGTACAACAAAAAAAAAGACTAATGTTGTCAGATTAGCATTATTAATAAAATTAACTTTGATACTTTGGTATTATATTAATTGGAATTAATTAATGTCAAATTGTCAGCATTAGATTAGTATCATTTTTAATTCTAATACAAATGTTGCCTGGAGCTATACCTTTATGAGTTCATGTTGAAAAGCTTTCGATAATTGAACACAGAGTTTTTTTTAACTGGAAGCGCCATTCCCAAAATAGAACAAAATTGTTTGTTGTTAGAAACTTATGAGCTTTGAGTATCCGGGATCTAGTTGTCGATAATTAATATATTAATACTTAAAATAATGTTAATTTAATGCTAGTACATTGGTATTAATTACATAATTCTAATATAAACAATACCAAAACATTAAGGTTAATTTTAATACTACTACCTATAGAATTAGCTTTAGTATTATTTGATGTTTATGCTAATAGAGATGGGATCATTTTGATTTGAAAAAATGCGAACCGATTCCAACTTTGAATGCTAATTCTAATACGACATCTGTACAAAAGACAAATGAATGAAATCATATCCAAAAAATGACTTGATCAATACAATTGATATGTTAAGATTATCATCAAACAAGAAGTCAAACTACTATTTTGTACATTTCATAATATCAACAATCATATAGAAATGAAATAATACAAGAATGAAATGTTATGTATATGAGAGATACCATTAATGTATAAAATATCACTGATGAGAAAACCGTCCCAAATGATTCAAATCTTTACGTTGATATTTTACTTATAAGTAAAATTCGATGAGACAAAGAAATTCTAGCAAGGAAAATTCTTCAACTGTTCAATCACTTTTGAGTTGAGGTTATGTGTATTATGTAAGTCTGGCTTCACAGCGATCCTATATTTCTATATTTTTTAAAAAAGTTGAAGATTTTTCGGAAAAAAATCACATATGCCTTTAGAAAATGCCTTTCGCGTAGTGTAAATATTATCACTAGTGCCTGCAACATAACAGAGATGATAATGTTAATATATATATATATATGTTTTAGTCAAAATTAAAATTTAGTCAGATTTAAAATCTATCCAGTAAAGGTTAAAATTTTAATTTTGTCCAATACAACACTAGTCAAAATTAGAATTTCAATTTTGATTGGGCAGTTTTAAGATTTGACATATATGTGAGTAAATCGTATTCTAACCTCTGTTGCAAAAGTCTTTAGACAAAATGTTTATTCATTTTTCAGCCGCCTAAACGTCATTAGTGAGAATCAAAAGTAGTTAGCTAAAATCAGATTTTTGTGCTCTTTTCGAATATCTGATCAGAATATTTCACTGACTCAATATTGATTAGGGATAAGCCAAATGTTTGACAGAGTCGAAAATGATGTTTGTACAGAATTTTATTGGATGTATTTTTGTGTTTTGGCCGATATCTACTCTACGCAAAACATGAAAGATATTTTCATCAGCCAATTTTATAGAGCGAAGTTTGCTCTACAAACTATGCTATTTAGTTTGGTTTTCCATCTCGAAACAAATACATGCAATCTATTGTATTATAAATAGAAGATCTTGGAAAACTGACTTTTTGGCAGGATTTTATCTTACGTACCAATCAGTTCTCAGAAAAACGTCTACAACCTTTTATTCATTTGAGTTGAAGTCTATTGTCATATATGGTTTTATAGTGAATTGAATGCTCTACAAATTGCCAATTTCGAACTGCTTCAAAATCCACCTTGCATAAGTAATGAATAGCGGGAAAACATGTGTTTTCTTCGTCGAGATGTCATTCTTCGCCTCTTTCAAGTATTAACTTACAGCTAACCAATCTTAACCTAAAGAGATATTCTGAACACATATCAGAGAAGAGCAGATAAGACTGACTATAAGGAGCTACTTTTGGTTCGTATCAAATACTTTTAGCGGCTGAAAGATGAACAAACATTTGCAGAATGACTTTTTGTACAGACATCATTTTTCACTCTGTCAAACATTTGGCCCATCCATAATCAATGTTAAGTCAGAGAAATATTCTGATCAGATATTCGAAAAGAGCACAAAAATCTGATTTTAGCTAACTGCTTTTGATTCTCATCAATGACGTTTAGGCGACTGAAAAATGAATAAACATTTTGTCTAAAGACTTTTGCAACAGGGGTTATTTTTACGATTGCAATAGAAAAAATTGAAAAAAAAAAGAGAGTATTGGTATAAAAAATCAGCTGAATACTTTAACAGAACACTATTGAAAGTCTAGAAAATGCTTGTTTTTTCTATGCTTTGCTCAAAAATAAGATGCCTGTGTAATACTATAAATGCATAGAAGCGTGTTCATTGTATTCCACCAAGTTTTTTAATAATTTTTGAGAGAATAAGATGAATCGCTCATCCGTCGATGCAGCTCGATTAGATCTAATGCATGATTTCCCTTCAAGAGTGGAAATAAAACAAACAAAGAATCAGGTGATAAACAATATAATAGTGAAGAAATGATTTTGTGGAGAACAGAGTATATCTTTAGTCACTTTTTCCTACTATGCATGAGTATTTTGCTCTGAAAAGTATCTCATTAGATCGGCCTATCCATGATGAATTGAAAAATTTATAATAATTTTATAATTAACTTTCATTTGATTGATATATTCAACTTTTTACGCGATGACACATTTTACATCTGATTAGTCGTTATCTCAGCTCCATATCCTAACAGGAACTTGATTTTTTTTTCACTAGAACTAAGCAGCATACAGAAAAAACAAAAGTTTACATTTCATACAAAACAGTCAACTCCATTAGCATATATGCAAGTGACAAATTTCACTATAGTACCGAACAAAGAGAGTAGATATGTCCTTTCTGCTCATATCCATTCAAATTCTTCATGCAATGCAGACTTTAGTTTTATAGAAGTTGTTCCTACAAATTACCATCGTTTTAAAACCGCTCTATGTTAGCCAATATATCCCTGTCAAGAGAAAACCAAATTTTGAGATGATAGAGCTAAAAAAAAGAAGACGAAGTGTTTGCGAAGTGAATATTTTGTGTGTATTTATTTAAGACAGTTGTTGTGAAGGAAAACTAAAGGTAGATTTTGATTTTCTGCATTTTTATTTTATCTAACTGAAATACAAAAAAAAAACGTGAACATGAAATTTATTAATTAAAAAAAATTGTTTTCGTCGTGACATCACACAAATTTTCAGCTTTTTCTTACTTGTAACAAGCATAACTCAACATGCAAGTGACGTAGATTGATAAAAATTGTAAAATAGACCTTATCGACTACGATGTTCTTCGAAAATGATTCAAATCTGGCTTTAGTACCGCATTCATTAAGTTAGGACATATTGCTATTGGAAATTTTTTGTATATAAATATATATCAGTAAAACTGAAACATGCTCGATGCAAATAATTTGCTGCTGAAATTTTGAAAATTGATCAGAATATCATTTTTTTGTATTTGATATATGAAAGTAATCGTTTAAAGATAAACTAAAGTCAATATTCCAATCAATTAAGAATTTATTCGAGAAAAATAAACTCTTTCATCCAATTTATTCACTATCATCATTGTTTTCATTCAATTTAAATTCATTTTATTAAGTATATCATCCAAGAGAAAGAATATATTTCGATATTCGATTTAACGCAATAATTATCCCGAGGAAGCATTGCACGTAAGCCACGACCATTCTAGCTCAATTGATCTCATCGATTTGGTTGATTTCTTTTTTTGTTACAATAGGTAGCTCTAACACAGTTAGGAAGAGATTAAGAATTTCAGTTCAAATGGATGAATCCTTTTAGAGATATAGACGATACAAGTATAGGGAGTAGGCAACATTTTGAATACTTTACAGAGTACTTTTGTGTTAGTTTCTCATCGATTAATGTACATAGTCTCGACTCAAAAGCAATTTAACGGTAAGAAGACCTGTCTCGTAAGAGAATAAGAATCTGGAAGTCTTTTTTCTTGCTAAGGTTTAACTATTTATTTTACTTGGCTTACTATATTTGACAAGAGTTTATCAAAGAATCAAATTAAAGAATTTTAACCTGAAATTTAACTTTCGCATAGGTCTTATGATCTTAAAAACAACCTAAATATTACATTGAATTTTCGTGACATTCAATAGCATGGAAGAGAGAATCATTTATTTTGACTATGATACTACGGTTGTTATTAAGATCATGAGATTTATAAGAAAAGAATATTTCAGATCGAAATTTTGTAATTTGAATCTTCAATAAATCTAATAAAATAATTATTTGTGTTTCAGACGAAAATACCTATTGACTTTTATTCTTTTCGTATTTCTCTCGTTTTACTAGATCCTACTTATGAGTTACATTTCAATTTAATGCAAAATTAAAGCCAATATATCTATAATAGTATTGATTTCTACTATCGACATGAGTTTATAATTGTCAAAATATTCACAAAACACTCAGAAATCAACTTTATATTCCATAAATACTCTATTTACACCATATAATATGTTTCGAATAAAAAAATATTCTAAAACATCGAAGTTTCTCTTAACATCTAATAATCATTCTTGACTAGGAATGATATAACCATTTGATAACGGTAACTTACCACTTAACTTTTATGTACTTATCACTATCTTCAAGTACTATGTTACTATTTGGTATTTTTTTTTTTCAAACAAAGAAAAAAAAACCTCTAATCTTTTCTGTTATAATATTAACTTAGAAATTTATCTTCATATTTATCATAGAATAATACATGATAAATATTATTCACAATGTTTTAGTTCTAATCTCAGTTGCTGTTAGATTTACAATAACTCATCATATCATTAAAAACAACCATATTGAATATAATTAATACAAACAAATATAAATTATAAATTCCAGACATACAAGAATAAAGATTATTATAATTATCATCGAATATAATCCACATAAGATCAAGATTAATCGGTTTTATTTTCTAATCTCTTTTACAAAAAAAAAGTCCGAAAATTATTCGAAACAATTAAATACGATTATTTATCATCATATCATTGATTTAATATATATATATTTTTTAAATTATTCTTCTCATCAACATACAAAAAAAGAAAACACATTGACACATACAAAAAAGAAAAAAAATTCATCTATCACGATGTTTCTTAATCATGGTAATTTTCTTTTAATTTCTTCTCGAATGTACGTACGTATACGTTTGAACAAGAAAAATATTCAAAAAAAAAAAAATTTTTTTTGCCTAAAAAAACAGAAAAAAAAGAATCAACAACAACAACAACAACAACAAAAAATTACACAAATGAACATAAACATAAAGTTTTTATATTCCTATATACAATTTGAGATCACCAGAAAAGAAAAAAAAAGACAAATTGCGTATAGACGAACCTATGTGTTTTTTTTTATTTCTGTCGATAGACTAGACGATCACTGTTGTCGATATATTTTTGAAGAGAATATTGGCGTTTCGTTTTTTTTTTATTTCTCTTTTATACAAGATAACCTTCACCAGGCAACAATGATTTTGATGATATCAATACCAATTGAGATCGTACATGTTTTAATGCATCTAATAAACGAGATTGTTCATCAAGTGATATACTATTTCCAATAATATCATGTAAATCTGTTTGATTAAAATGACATATTTGTGATAGATTTGTATAACCAGCACTTATAAATAATCTTATTAAACGATCAAGTTGTAAATTATGAAGCCAATCAATAATTGATGTTACTTGAGCAAAATTAGGTTGATCTGGATGATTGACAAAAACGAATCTATCAAGATAAAATAGATCATTTTTAAAACAACATAATTCTTGCGTAATTAAAACTATGAAATACAATATAGTTGCTGTTTATAATCATAGACAGATTATTTTTATTCTATCTATTTTTAAATATATTTCTTCACTATCCTTTTATTTACTTAACCCTCCAGAAATACAATAAGAAAGTAGTTTATATATTATAACGAGACGCTATTCATATATGGTCTATAGGAAATTATGACTTCGGGTTCAAAAAAAAAAACGTGGACTCGCAGCATCTTACTTACTTGATTTCGTTTTCATAAATATAACTAAAACTATTATATATGCTTGAAGATTTTCATATTACCATTGGTTTATCAATTAACTGTTCAATTTCCTTTTTTGTTAACATAATGCTCTTTTCAACAAAGCGGAAACTTTTCAATTATTAAGCATTGATTGAAGGAAAAGCGAGCAACAAGAAATAATTGTACGCATTGACTTTTTTCCCAAGAGTAGCCAATAAATAACAGAAACCTTGATCCTTCACTTATTCATGTGTAGAGAGGAGGATGCTAGATAGTAATGGAAAAAAATCGAATCTACAAAAATGTAGATCCACAACTTCCCTAACGATCTATGACCGTATATCAACGTCTATGACGAATTACTGAGTTTTTCAAAAAAAAAAAAAGAAATTGTGGTTCCCCTAAGATCAATTTCGACTTCGAACTTTGCATGAACAAAGTTCTTAATGAAATTAATTCATTGGACAAGTTGTAACTTTTCTATTATCTCCTATTCTAAGATATTCAATATTCGAAATTCTCTCATGTGTAAAAGTAAATTTTGTTCATATATTTACGTCATACTAAAAGAAAAGCTAAAACTTTCACAACCAACTAATCTTATTAAGTTATGTAAAATTTGAATCCAAAAAATTAAATCATTCGAAACTTTTTCTACTATTCTTTAGCACTCATCAAATGAACATCGTCTCAATCGAAAAACGATTTGACATATGAAGAGATCTGTAGAAAAATACAAAAGAAACTTTCGTTTTCTATCTACCTACCTTTGTTTTGCTAGTGGCAGAAGTCGACTAGGTACTTGAATAAATTGTGTTAATTGTTGTACAATTTCACAAAATTTTGGTCTTTCTAAATATTCTTCATTCCAACAAATAAGCATTAATTTATATAATACATCAGGACAACCCTAAATATAGATTTGAATTTATTTAATAATTCATTTCTTTTTCTTTTTTTTTTTTTTTCTTATATACAAACCATAGGTGGTGGAAGACGATAAGAATTTTTAATAGCTTTAATAACATCTTGATTTGACCAATTCCAAAAAGGTCTTTCACCAAATGAAACAACTTCCCAACATAATACACCAAAACTCCATACATCAGATGCTGATGTAAATTTTCGATAATCAATTGCTTCAATAGCTGTCCAACGTATTGGAATTTTTCCACCTTTAGTTGTATAACTATCACCTTCATCAATTTCACGACTTAAACCAAAATCAGCTACTTTACATATAAGATCTTTATTTACAAGAATATTTCGTGCTGCTAAATCCTATTCAAATATAAAAAAACAAAAAATGATTCGTTTTTTTTTCTCTTTTTTTTTTTTTTATATTCGATTTACTCGATGAACATATTTCATATCTGACAAATATTTCATTCCAGATGCAATACCACGTAACATACGTGTTAATTGTAATGCATCAAGACATTTATTTCCTTCATTTGCCTAAATAAAAAAAATCAATATGAGAAAATTTCATTGATTCATTTTTTTTTTGTGATTATTTACTCGAAGATATGTATCTAATGAACCATTTTCCATATATTCTGTAACAATCATAATTGGATGATGTTTTGTAACAACACCTTCCAAATAAATAACATTTTCATCATCAAATTGTCCCATAATACTAGCTTCAGATAAAAAATCTAGACGTGTTTTTTCTGTTGCACCTTGTTTTAATGTTTTTATTGCAACTGGTATATCTTTCATGAAATTTGGTTTACGTAGTTTACCTCGACAGACATCACCAAATTCGCCTTTTAATAAACACAAAACAAAAATGATAGATAGATAGATAGATAGACATATTGTGATGATGCAAGTGACACATATTATCTTCAATGTTCAATATAATCTTAATGTTCTTCTTCACCTCAAATGATCTATAGCATGATGATAGTCTCTCAACAGCCGTCTTTTCTCATCAATTAAATGATTTTACGTAAGTCGAATAGTAGAAGCAGAAGCAATTCTTGTTGATTGACCGAATGCACATTAATAAGAGGCTTCTCGGGTTTTTTTTCTTCTTTCTCCGTTTCTCTTTTCTCGGGTCATCCCTTATTCTCATATGTGAACGAGGGAAATTAAATAAAACAACCTAGGACATAGTATTACATAATATAAATTTGAAGATTACAAACTAACATGCATGCATATATTTAGTTTAATTATAAGTACATACCGCCTCCAATGACTGATTCAATGACTATTAAATTTGGATCTAATTCACGTGCAAAATCTTTGACGGCTTTTGTTGGATCTTCATACTAAATATAGAATAATAAAATAAAAATAAAATTTCATATTAAAAATACTACGAACTGTATGAGGATCAATATATGTCTTTGCTGTCGTTGGAATTGGAGGCCATAATGGTGCTGACCCTAGAAACATATGTAAAATAATTAAATGATACTAAATTGTTGATCGTTATCTTTGTAATAGAGGAAATGAGAGAAAAAAAAAGTCACTTGTTCAATCAATCTTTTTTTTTTGCCTTATAGGAAAATGTCAAGGTCAATAAAAGCAAGACAACTTCTAATGATTAATCGCTTAGTTTGAGAATAAAAGCATGCATATACACTTACAGCCAGAATTGAAGAATGCATCGGGTCCATAATGACCACTCACTAGAAATAAGAAGATGATAAGCATATTTAAAAGAAATGTAAAGTCTACAAAAGCAAGATATAAGCATATATAAGTTAAAGATGCAAACTATTGAAAAAATAAAATAAAGACCAATGATTTACATTGAGTTACAGTTTGATTTGTTGGATTACTTGTATAGCGTAACATCATTGGTCGATAGCCACCTGTAAGTACTATGATCCCACTTACTCATTAAAGACACACAGATAAAATAAGAAAAAAAAACCTTCATACACACCTTGTCGTTTTTGATAATCTAATGATTCACAATCACTTGCTGTTTTTAATCGACATGATCGTCTTCTATATAATTAAAAATAATTTTTTTAAAAAAAAAAGATTTTTCTTTATATTTACTTTTTTGAATAAATAAATGCTAAAATAATAACTGTAATAAGTAATGTAAGAATAATAAATGGTCCAATAAGTAATATAGTTTTATTTTCAACAAATTTTATTGTAACATCGGTTAATTTTTTATTTGTTAAATATTGTTCATTAATTAACATTGAACTTAATGATAGAAGTTTTTCTTGTGTATATAAACTCCAACCAAAACGTGTATGACCACGTATTTGAAATTTATAATTATCTGTTTGTGTTATTAATGTAAAATTATTATATAAAAGTGTTATAAGAAATTTTTTATTTTCATCTAATAATGACCAATAACGTATTTGATAATGATCAAAATCATTTGATGACCATGTTATTACTATTGTATTTAATGATATACGTCGAATATTTATATCACGAATTAATTTTGGTACTATAAAAAATAGAAAAAGTCAAATAAAAAATTTTCTTTTTTTTTTTACTTGGTCGTTTTGTTGTAAATGATAAATCAACTGATTTACTTAATAAATGTGTAGAAATATGTTCAGCATAAATTTCAATATTATAATTTGTATCAGCATCAAGACCGAAAATTTGTACACTACACAAAAACAAAAGAAAAATTTCTTTGTTTTGTTTTTTTTTTTTTGCTACATACCTTGTACCATTAATAAATGTACGATTTGGTTGATATGTTATATAAGATTCACAAGAGACTAGTCGACCTTCAATTAAACGGTTACATTCAATGCGATAGACAATATCATTTGATGATGAGTCTAATGATCGTTTCCATGAAATTTTAATTGATGCTTGATCTATATCATCTACTGTTACATTTTGTGGTTCAATAGGACTTCCTATTTAAAATAAAAGAAAAGAATTTGAAAAGCTTAGTAATAAAATATGATAATTTACCAATACAAGGTGAATTAGATAATGATGTATTAAGACGAAAAAATCCATCATTACATATACAAGATGATGCACCTTTATCTTTCGTATGACTATTTAATGGACATCGTTCACATCGATGATTATTGTTAATTGTTGATTTAAAAGTTCCAATTGAACAAGCTTAAAAGAAAAAATATGTTCCTTTTTCTTTTTTTTTTGTTTTATCTTTGTCTTTAAGAGGGGAAAAAATGGATGCCATCTGTTCCTGCTTTTTTTTCTTCGTTGAAGTGTGTATGTATATGTTCATAAATACTTTTATATCCATTCTTTCTCTTGTCTAATGTTGCAATGATTACAGTCAAAATGGATACTTTTTTTTTTGTGTATATGTGTGTCTGTCTTTCACAGATGGTGTGAGTTGACAAGCTCGTTAGGCCGTATGCATATCAATGCATGAGGGCGGATGAAAAGGTATGCGACAGGTGAATGAATGTGAGCTCGTTTCCATTCTTCTGTAAAATGTAAAAAAAAGAAACTAGGGACAGTAGTCGTCAAAGTTAATTATATGGATAGAGAATACAGTGACAATGCTTATACATGCATAGAATTAGAAAGAAGGTCATCTGAACACGTATACATATAGATGCTAGCCTCAAGGGTAAATGAGACATGTTATTTTGACAAATTTTAACTACATATTATATCGAACAACTCCATCAATGACATGAGTTGAATGAAGCTAATTTGATCTAATCTCGAACAAGTTATGTGTCTTTTTATGTACTTACCCTTGCAAATGGCACGAGATAGAAGACCATTATTCTTATTATTATTATTATCAATGAGCAGTTCATAACCATCTTGACAATGACAACTATCGCGTAATGATGTTTCTTGAAAAGCCCATTCACCTAAGATAAATTTGATTAGTTTTCAACAAAAAAAAAAAAAAGAAAGAAAATCAATTCTAATACCATTTCCTTTACAAAAACCTAATGGTTTATTAATAGTTTTTGAATTACTTGTACATATACCATGACGTTCAACAATATCTGTTAAATGTGCACCCGTTGGTGTTTCAGGAAAATGTACAAGACCAATTGTTGTATCTTGACATAAACGATAAAAAATTTTAACATATAATAATGATACACATGCACCTTGATCACGAAATGCAATATAAAAACCATTTTTATTTACAGATATACCACGAGTTTTAACATTAACTGTTAAATTATTTCCATTTGATGATGATGCTTGTATACCATAATTATTTGATGTAAAACGATTTCCAGCAATAATATCAACTAATTTATAAGATGACCATAAAAGATCATTATCTTCATAATCACTTTCATGTATATAAAGTTCAAATGTTTCACGACATGAACGTATTTCATTTGGTGTTTGAAATGTTGAACAATCACGAATAGAAAATCCAAGTTCAATTTCAATACGTTGTGCTTGTTGACGTTTAAAATATGGTGAACGTAACCAATTATCAACATGACGTTCTGATGTTATATCACATACATATTGTGTACGCCATAATGTTGATGTTGATGATAATAATAAAAGTGTTGGAAATGTTTTAGCTTCAAAACTTAATTCACCCCAACCATCATTTAAATTTCCATTATTTGATGTTTTATCCCAATTAAGATAATCACGAGCTTCACGTGTATCTAATAAAACAACTAAACAAAAAAAAAAATAAAAGCGATAATGATTAGTGTTTATTGATATATATATATATATATATGTATATATCTTGATTTTTTTTTTTGTACCTTCTTTTGTTGCTTGTACAAATGAATAAATAAAACATATTAAAATAAAAAAACATAATTTCATAATCATTGTCGAATAACAAAACTTGACAATTGTCGTAATCTTTCAATAAGCATCAACTATTGCTTATACATACAGTTGGCAGATGAGGAAGAGAGAGAGAAACTATAAAACAGAAGAGAAGAAAAAAAAATATATATAAAAAGAATGACTGGTAATGTGCGTTCTCTTTCTCTCCCTTTTCTCCTCTCTTCTATATACTGATTTTTGAGCTTTCTCTTTTTTCTCTCGATATGTATGTTTCGCGATGCCATAGAATAGACATCATCGAATTTCCTTTCTCTTTCTTTTCTCTTCGCTCTGAGCAATAGCATCCATCTATAGAAATAGAGAAGAAAAAAAAAGAAAAGACAGACAGACAGAAGCTGACCGACGCCCGAATGCACACACACATATATATATATATACATATATATAAATATATATATGTCGAGTGCGCACGACAGAGATGACGACTGTCATATTTCCGATAATGTGGCTCGATGTTCATCTAATAATAGCATATGTATATATATATATGTATAAATACAGTAGCTCAAATGTCAAAAAAAGTATATCTTTACTTTATAAAAAAAATGTCCTAGTCTCTATTTCTAATGAATTCTAAGACAATGATTTTAACAGTTAACTTTAAAAGAAATTATTCATGTAATTCACCGACATCAATAAAACAAAAAAAAAGAAAGAAAATAACACCGAATAATGTTATTATCACATTATTTGCCTCAATCTATTCTCCATAAAGATACATTTATATATAGTGTTACACAATTTGAATAAAAATAATAGTGACGGTTAGCGTAATTTTATTTCACACACGATCGCATTTGTTAGTGTGATGTCGGCAAAACGCACAATATGCGTCGAGGCCATTCACGCTATTGGCCGCAACGCCTTTTTTTTTTTCTCTCGTGTGTACACGTTTATCAATTAGACTTTATGTATTTGACAAGTTTGTTGTTTTTCTGTAGTAAATACTTCCATAGACGAGATGTTTATCCATTACATAAGTAATACGAGTTGTCTTTTTTTTTTTTTTTCTTATTTTGTCATCACATACAATTGTGATGATAGCTGTTTTTTTTTTGTTGTATTTGATAGAGAGAAAACTTTATATGTCAATGGGAACGAAAAATGATCTAACTTATCCATTCAGTGATATAAGGATGTGAAGACAGATCTTTTCTTTTGTTATCAACAATGACGACGTAAGCGATTACGGCACGATCATCCTCAAGAGAGAATCAATTTTCGATCTACACACACACACACACGAGATGGTGAATGAACAAAAGAAGCAAGAAAAAAAAAAGAACTGCAAGAAAGAGACGATCAATGATGAGTGAGAGTCTTCAATAGAGTTCTTTCTAATAACTTCTGTAATATATATATGTATTCAATAACAACCAAAAAAAAAAGAAATAAAAAACTACAGTATGGTCAATTACTTTTTCTTGACTATGTATATAACAATTACCTTCGTTAGGATGTGAGTGAGCAAACAATTGTCATGTACGGATTTTTTAATTGTTGTCGTTATTGTCGTCGATCACTGATGCTTACATAACTTTCTCTTTACTTATCCATAGGATATAGTAGAGAATGCGATAACATGAGTACATCTGTTCTCCCGTTCGTTGATGAACTTCGTTCGGTCCGATAAAGAAAGAAGTACAGAAAAAAAAAATATCTTGACTTTAACTCTTTCTATTCAAATAATTCAACTTGGACACTTGTTCACTCACATATATATATATATATATTTATAAAGTCTATCAATCGATGTCTAATCATTTTGTTATGATGCCAATAGCAAACGAAATAGAACTTTCTAATTTACTCATTTTATGTTTTGTATATTGTCGGCAGCCATCTGGTTCATTCACACAGCATGTATATGTTGACAACAGCGTCTAACTGATTAGTCTTACTGCTGTGTATGATTCTCACCGCGACAACTATTAAAATGATTGAACTTCCGACTTATAACAGTGATAATAATATAGACAAGAAAGACAACGATGAACATTTATTTCTTTTTTCAATAGGGACTACTTAGTTTCAAAAATAACACTCTTGATACCTTTGAAAAAAAAAAAGAAAATTACTATAATGTGAATATATATAGGTCTATTTCGATTGATTAAACATATAAGTATCTTTTTTCTTTTAATGAATAGAGTGCGAAAATGGAAGGAAGCCTAATATCTCTTCTTTACATATTAGACAAACACAGGAGGAGATGCAAATGTTTGCTAGATATAGCGGTATGATTGTTCAAATCACGTTGGATATACATACAAACGAAGTAGCTACATTATATACATATAAGTTCATTTTCGTTTTTATGTATACAAGGTCAAACAATAACAGACTTGACCAAGTGCAAACTTTGATGATGAACAAACATAGAATTGAATAAACGAAAAAAGAAAAAAAAGGATTTTTCTAATCATAAATAAAAATAAGAAAAAAAATTCTTTTTTTTTTTTTTTTCTTCAAGGTCATTAAATTCATATGGATTCTTAAATGTTTTTTTTTCTTTACTCTTCAATGAATTTGAAAAATTTTTTTTTTTTTCTCCTAATATATGTGGCATAGTGCACTTCCCTCAATTATACTTACCGTTTTTTGTTTGAATTGATCAATTGCATTTGTGTTAGATGCGGCGATGTGGAAATGAAGTGCTCATGCATAGAGCAAGTCGGATGTCAATCGAAGCAACTACTATAGAGTTTGTTTTGTCTCTTTTCTTTTCTTTTCTTCTATCTACAAATTTGATGTTAAACAGAGATAAAACAAAAAAAAAAAAAAGAAAAGATGCGAGTTGAGCATCTTTTCTTTTGTATTTGTTTATACATATACATTATCTTTTCTCAATGCGGATGCACCTTTTCAAATCAATCTATGCACACACACACACACAAATATATATAAAGTAACAAACATGATCATTATACGTGCACACTTTATGTGTCAAAATTACCATATTTATTTCGTTTGGTCTAGTCATTATATTCTTTGATCCTGTTCAATACTTTATTTCTTTTTTTTCATTTTACTTCATTGATTTAATGTCTTTTTAAATTTGGAATTATTAGTAATAAGTCATTTACCACTATCCTATAGTTTCTAAATGAACTCTACGATTAAATATATCTATCACACATATATGTAAAGAAAAAATCCTTGAGATCTGCACGCAATAAAACCATTAAACGACACCTTACGACATATCAGGCACGCTTGTATTACAATATATCGTTAGATCAACATATAGAGAGACAAAAGAAGAAAAAGAAAACCGACTATCAATACAGATACAAATCAAACAATTTAACCTTGAATACATACCTATAATACCTATTTTGTTGTTAATAAGTTGCAACTAGATTCCATTTGTAACCTCAAAAAAGAAAAAGAGAATCTGATATGATACAGCAGTTGCTTATTTGCTGTTCTGTATACAGCTTCTCAGATTTTTTTTTGCTCTTTATGTAAGCTTCTAATTGTGAATACAAAAAAAAAAAGAGAACGACAAAATCGCTAGTGTATGCATATATCTACGGATCTACATATTTTTTTTTTCAAAGGTCATATCATCTGTGATGGATGACAGCATAGTTTCTGTTTGGCTGCTACTTCTTTTTTTTTTTTTTTTTTCTTGTTATTCGTTAAATATTTTCTATCATTTATCATGCTTGGAGTAATGATAACTAAGAAGAAAAACAGCAGGTGGAACTTATCATTTAAACATATAATATATATGTATAAGTCACACTCGATTAATATCGAAATAACAGTTGAACTATATTCACTTGCCACTAGTCAATTCAGTCATATTGGGATTCACACTTGAATAGAAAAACTAATTAATACTGTCAAATTGAAAAGTCAAGATGTGATGATTATCAAATTGGAAGCATCGATCGATCGATCGATCGAACTCAACAGAAACAAAAAAAATCAATTAACAAAAATGATTATCTATAAAAGCATTAGTGTAAATTGAGAATATCACTTCATATTCGATATTATGTTCTGTTGTTGTTCTTTATCTATTGACTAAAAATATGATGCGTGACTTTATGAAAGTTGCTGAGCTTTTCTTTTCTTTTTTCTTTTTTTCTTATATATATTTTTTCTAAAGACATGGAGACATGAAACCTTACTATGATTATAATACAGTCTTTTTTTTGTGTATAAACACGAGTATATGCGGTATTGAAGATTGTTTTAATCAAATAGAAGTAAAGGGAGGGAGAGAGAGAGAGAGAAAAACGAGAACGACAGACATCGTCCATGACTCAAGCTGAAGCAAGGCTCTTCAACTATTGACGATGACAACTCGATGAAAAGATAACAATAACACATTTTAGTGGCTGTTTGCTATTGTTTCTTGCAGTCATTGTTGTCTTTATAGGTACCACTGTATAGATAGACATGTATACTTGTATTGACATACATACATATATACAATTACTGATAGAGGTTATGTAGAAAATCAAGTACGTTGAATTGCTCATTTCTATATCATTAGTATGAATTTGAGAAGGAATTATGAGGAGAACAAAAAGAAATGGTCAACCATATGTATCAACTTAATTTAAATTATTTTAAATGAACAGATGAAAAATAAAAATGATGAGCAAACATTTAAACTCTCTTGTGAGAAAGATGATTATCTGTAGATTTCTTTTTATTTATATATTGATATTGCCGACACCATATGACATCGATAGTCTATATACATTTATATAGAGTAAGATGAATTCAACCGCAAATTGTTTATGTGAAAATACAAAATAACAATCAATATCAATCGAACACAGATATTACTTGCTTGCTTTATCTTTCTCTTTCTGTTTCTGTATTTGTCCTGCGGCAATATCAACAAATGTATGCCTTTTATATATCTAAACGGAATGAATCGAAGGCGGGCGAAATAGAAGGAAATAAAACCAACAATATTATAATTATGGCGTTAATTTACTGTATGAAAATAACAAAAAAAAAAATGTAGTTTGACTATTTCGGCATCTAAGAAGTTAAATAAACATTTTAAAATCTGGAAATGATTTAAGACAAAAAAAAGAAAAAAGAAAACAATACGAAAAATTTGTAGATTAGATTAATAGTGTAGAATAACTTATACAGATGGCAAACAAATTAAAAATATTGTCACAATACAATAATATCAAATAGATCATTGTAAATTAACCGAACAGATAAAAGAAAATGTAAAGAACTTATCGAAAGTAAAAAAAAAAAAAGAAAATAATATTGTGAGACAGTTAATGTATGATAACGATAGAATAAGATTTACAATATTTCCATACGTGACATACAAATGATGAAATGTTTACACATGAGGAAAAAAATCGACACATCAATCAAATATGTCGTCGGACTAAAAACCGTCTATTAATCTTAAGAGAAAAGATTCTTAAACGTATTCTTAATGACAACAAAAAGAATTTTTTTTTGTCATATTGTTTCTTTCTTTTTAATGAAAGAATGCATTCATTTCGTATTCGAAATCATCAGATAACTAAAAACAAAACCTACAAGGTGTCTTATTGATCTCATCGTTAAATTTCATACATTATTCTAACCAGTAGTGTAGCATACAATTAACACCTGCTTAGCCTTTCAATATGTCAATGTGTAAAATCGAGTGTCCACTCATGATGGAAAATATCTTAACAGATATTCATCAAGTGTTATTTATAAGAGAGAAAAAAAATAATAAGAATTAATCTTATTTCTAAAGGTAGCATAAGTGGAAATGAATATTATTAGTGTTTTTTTATGATTAATGAAATACTTGAGAAGTTTTTTTTTTCTTTTTTTTAACAAATAAATTGAATTCTATAGAAGTAGCTTTCTTTATTTTGATGAATAGAAAGAATTCAGTATTAATAAGTAATAATTGAGAGAAATTCTTATTTTTCTAGGTTATTAAAAGAATATATCTTTTTACAGAGTATCTTTCCATTCAAATGAGTATTTCCCAAGAGAAACTGTTGACATGTGTAAGACGAATGAAATACTATTGTCGTCGATGTGTGATATCGTCTTCGGTTTTTTTCTCTAAGGAGTATCGTACCTTGAAATGAATATGTATTCAATGTCAAAAAGAAAATCAGTTAGAAAATAACTATTTTTCAATAATATGTCATTTCTTTCAAGGATATAATTCGAAGTTTCTTTCGATAATGAAAGAAGTTTTATTTGAGAAATAAAAGAATATCGATTTAGGCATGTTTCATAGAAAAATTAAGATTAATTAATAAATTTTCCTGCTCTATCAACACATTTTATGCATGAATAACGAGCGGCACATTATAAACGAGACAAAATGTTTTCCTCTTTTTAGAACATTTTCCAAAACATTAGAGTCTTTGTTTTGGATTCATTTTTGGTAGAGAATTTCTTGTTCCACAAAACTATCGTCTTTGTTGTTTCAAAAAACTTCTTTTTCATCGATGCAAAATTTAAAAGGTAAGCACCTGCTAAGTCGTCGAAATGCGATTTTCGATTTTCTCCAGGCATCTATCGATTTGTGTAAACCTTTACTCATCAGGATCGATGTTAAAAGTGTTTGACATCAATGGATAGAGAATTTCGTTCTCTCTGCTTCCACAACCTTTTAAAGATTTCTACTACTGTTGTTCAAAAGAAAAGGCTTTTAACCAACACTTACTAGTATTTTGAGATGCATTTCGGAAAATCATATTTTTCAAAGCGAGACTTGGTCTATGACACGTTTATTCTCATGTCGGCAGGTGTAGAATTTAATTTTGAACAAAATGGTGTGATTGTTAAATTGCAGAGTGGAAACGTTCGATTGTGTCAAATTAAAAAAGAACAATCATGTAATTTTTCCAGAAAAAAGCTTTTTTTCATATTTTTTACCTCAAAAATTTTTCTTCCAAAATTCTGAAATATATATATCAAAAGATATAAAATTTCCTCGAGAACTTTGTAACATATTTGAAATTTCAGCGAAATCTTTATAATAATTTTTTCGTTTTCTGACCGCCGCAGTTAGACGATTGAGTAGATGTTTATTTTTTGAATTTTTTGCCGATAAAAAAGACAATTATATTAGAAAAAGTTATGGCAATAATATAAATGAGAATATAATTCAATAGTTTATAAGATATTAATAACAAAATATAATTGTAATGTTTTACTAATCTTATTAAAATATTCATCACGAATGACAAAGAACCTTCTTCATATTGCTTCATTAAATCAAGAATTTGTTGATTTCTAAAAGAGGCTTACTCATATTATTGTTAAATTATTTTATCGTACCCATGTTGAACACATAATCTTTCTTTAATTCATCAATCAATACACACAACGTAGTCCAAAAGTAAGGAAACACAGAATATTTTTGATTTCTTCTTTGTACATGGTTGGTTAGGTCTCTTATTATATACTAGATGATAGCAATCAAATATATAGCATATGATCAGTGTTTGAGTGCAATAATTTGTTCAAAAGTGTGCAAATATACCTTACTGTTCATCTATGATTATATGAGAAATTCGATGTTTTTCAAGTCCTATAGTTTTGTCTGCTTATCTCGATCTGCGAAATGAATCTGATTTAATTAATTTTGACCTTCTTTTTTTAAGGCTAAATCAGTACAAAATGCAATTAAATTGAAATAAGTAGACAAAACAAAGGAACTCGAAAAACATCGAATTTCTCATACAGTCACAGACAAGTAGTAAGATTTATTAGTACGCTTTTGAACAAATTACTGCGTCAAAAGACTAAGCATATAATCATGTACAAAGAAGAAATCGAAAAATCCTGTGATCCCTTACTTTTGACTCATCCTGTATTTGCATTTAAGTCGACGATGTCAGGCGTCCAATCTGAGTGTGCATCTGTCAATATGAGAGTAGAGCAGCTCAATAACTACACCTACACCTGCTAATCGAGAGTGTTTTTATGGTCTTTCTACTGACGTCTACGTTCGTTATAAAAAAAATGTCGAATAATGTCATAATTGTTTAGTTTATTTCCTTCTCTTTAAGACAAGATTTCTTCAGTAAAATTTTGATATTGCTCAGAAAAATGCGTCAATGAAAAGGAAAGATAATAAACATATCAGTTTTTAATTAATCTTATCCATTAAAATAAACCACATAGATTTTCTTTTATTTCAATTCTTTATTTATAGTTGATCATCGATAAATAATAATAAAATATATTATTTTACCCCTTCTTTGCTTTTACATCAAATAAATCCCCAAAAGCATAAAAACACTTTTATTTTTTGTTTAAATGTACAAATAAAACTTTCATATACACAACAAAAGCTTATAAAGAAAAAGATTTACCCTATATAATAAGTAGATCGAACAATAATTATAAATAGTCAATTAGATCTATATAGCACCACATGGTACAAAAAATTAAAAGCATTTGTCTCTATGTTTCTTCAATTGGTTCACTTTGTCGTACGTTTGATATACTACTCGATGTACGACATGATTTTGTTCTCATATCGGGCATTGATCGTAAAAGATTTTGAAGTGACCATCGTAAACTAGGTGGATCAAAATAAGACACAGGTTTGTCTCGTTTTTTTCCTGGTGGATGCCAAATAGGTTCTTGAATAGTTTTTTCTTTTCTTTTTTCTGGACTAAGTGATGTTGGTCGTTTTTGTCGATAAGGTCCAGTTGGTTGCCATATAGGTTCAGATTGACATGGTTGTTTTCGAGCTTCAGGTGATAGATAAAGACGAAATGGAGGCGGACGATATTTACCAGATGGTTGCCATTCTTTATTACCAGCAATTACGCCAGAAGCAAAACGTAAATATTGTTGAATAGAAAGTGGAGGAGTACTTTGTATCCGATAATTATTTTTTACAGAATTCTTTAAAATATGTTCATCTGAACGACGTGTTGTTGAAGACCATGGACGACCCGTGTTTGTTGTTGCCATGTAATTTGCTATTTATTTATAAAACATTAGGATTTTTTATCGATTTGCTTGAGCTCTTATGTGTATTCAATAAGAGACCTTTATGATGGTTGATGTGATTGGAATATTTTTCGTTCTCTTTTTCTTCTTTTTTTTCCATTTATTCACATACTCTCACGTGAACAGAACAATTATAATTATTTTACAAAGTCTTTTACTTTGTGGATGTTTTTTTTCTATAAATGTAGAAGTATGTAATATAATGATTACTCCTTGAGAACAAAATGAGAAACGAGCAGATATTTGGAAAAGAAAGAAAAAGAGAAAAAAACCAGAGGTGCCAACACAGCAAATGTTACTGAATTGTATCAAAATGTTGCATGTCTATGTCAAAATTAATCGTTTTTCTTTTTCTTCTGTTAAGTAGAAAAAAAGCATTTAAACAAATGTTGACGTCTTACAAACAATATCATTCGGAGACGAAACACTTGGCAGATTTAAATGAGTAGAAGTAGTATTTGAGAGACTATTAGAAGTTGTATTACGAAGAATTGATCTTGGCATTGTATTAGCCGATTGATGAAGATTTTGTGACGATGAATGTAATGAATATGATTTATTCATACGAGTATTGTCAATACCCAACGGATCAGTAGTAAAAGAATTAGAAGAAATTAAAGATGAAGATGAAATATTAGGAGTTGATCCATGTGGAATAGAAAGTGGTAACATAGAACTATCACCCGAAAGATTATGCATAGTATTATAAGGTGTTATATTTGCTGAATGATACGGACCAGTATCTGACGTAGTAGAAGATACAATACTAGTGGGATCATATCGTTGTGTACTTGTTGGATTCGATGATGTAAAACTAACTGAATGATAAGGTGTAATATTTGCTGGA